GACTGACACCCAGGAGATTTGGTTTAGTCACTTAGGCCAATGTTTCCAAAAATGACTAAGGATTTGGGATGCCCCATTTTCTGGGCACACTTTAAAGGGACCTGATTTTCAGAAAGTGTTGAGCATCTGGGCTCTGAAAATCGGGCTCCTACAGGGGATCCAGAATTGCGGGACACACAGTCACTAGTCACGTTTCAAAGTCTTGGCTTAAGGCCTTGGCCAGGGGTCTCTCTGTGCTTCAGGTGTGAGGATATGGTCACTGAGTCCTGAGAGGTCCTGGGGTGATGGAGGCTAAACACCCAGACAGAGCCCAGGGTCACATGCACTCTGCTAGGTGAGTGGGGGGATACACAGGGAATTTGGTACTGTTAATCTAATGTCTGTGATTCAAACAAGGGGTGCATTTCATGACCCCCAAAATGCTGAAGGAAAACGATGACATCTGGAAAACAGGCTCTCCAATGGGAAACTTTTTAATGAGCTTATTCTAGTTAGCTTATCAAAGGGAAGGTTAAAAGGTGACTCGCTCTTAAAGCAGTACCGACACACAGAGAAGATCGTGAAGAGCCCTCTCTTATCAATCTAGCAGATAAAGGTAGAACAAGATCCACTGGCTGAAAGTTGAAGCTAGAAGAAAGTTTCGTCTCATTTTGTGTTTGCATTTAACAGGGATGGAAATGAACCATTGACACAGCTCACCAAGGCATATGGTGGATTCTCCATCACTTGAGGTCTCCACATCATGGTTGGACCCTCTTTCTAAACGATACGCTCTCATCCAGCCACAGGTCAATGGGCTGGAAGCAGGCGCCATTGGGTGAAATTGTCCGATCTGCATTACACAGGAAGTCCGACTAGATGAGCATCATTCATAGATTCCAAGGCCAGAAGGAACCATTGTGGTCATGTAGCCTGACCTCCTGGATAACACAGGCCGGAGACCTGCCACAAAACAATTCCTAGAGCCGATCTTCTAGAACAATGTCCCATCTTGATTTTAAAATTGTCAGTGATGGAGAATGCACCACGCCCCTTGGTAAATTGTTCCAATGGTCAATTTCTCTCACCGTTAAAATTTTATGCCTTATTTGCAGTCTTAATTTGTCTAGTTAATAGACCCTTCTGTATAAAATCTATATAGGCAACATCCCCAGCTGGTATAAATCACTTTCATTGGAGCCCCACCCGTTTACATCATCTGAGGATCTGGCGCAGGGTTAGATCTGTCACAGTTTGGCCTGTTGTTGAATTTCTCTTTTCTCTATTTCCAGAGCCCGTCCCTAAGCCCAGTGTGAAGGTCACTATCAGGGTCAACAAAGATGGATGGTGCAATGTCACCCTGGTGTGCATTGTGGATGCCACCCAAGTGACCTACCGCTGGTGCAAGAATGAAAAGGATTTAGTGGGCAAAAATAGCAGCACACTGGACCAGGGCCAGCTCTAGGCACCAGCGTTCCAAGCATGTGCTTGGGGCGGCACTTTTCAAGGGGCGGCACCCCGGCCCTTTGGGGGCGGCTCTTTTTAAGGGGCAGTGGCTCTATGGCTTTTATTTTTTTTTTGTCTTCGTCGGTGGCACTCTGCCCCCCCCCTTTTTTTTTGCTTGGGATGGCAAAAAACCTGGAGCTGGCCCTGCACTGGACGTTGCGTTAAAGTCAGAAAGTGATGTGTCTTACAAATGCATCATCAGCAACCCCATCAGCAATGAGACAGGCTTCATCAATTACAGAAGCCTTTGCTCATGGGATGGTATTTGGTAACATTCACTTTGCATTCATTTCTCTTGCTGTGTCTATCTGGCTGTAGAGGCTACCTCTGCAGCCACTCGGGTTAGGTCTCCATTGAAGCAGGGCAGCCGTGGTTTCGGTGATTTTTGAAGGAGAGTCTTGTTCGCTGGTCCCCAGTGTGTATTTCCCCCACAGGGGACCCCAGAGCACTCTTCTGCTGACCTGCCCTGGGCTGTGAGTTGCTGGTGAAGCTGCAGCCACCGTGGGGCTAGGTTGGCAACGCCGTGCTGCTGGGAGTGTCACGTGTTGGATGACGGATCCTGGCCACGCGGCGTGATGCTGCCCAGGGATGGAAGGGCCGTGTGTGCCTGTGACACAGGAGAGCCACCTGCTGCTGCTGTGATGGGCTGAGTTCAAGGGGTCGAGGCCAGTGCTTTGGAGCTAGAAGTTGTGGGGACAGTCCCTGGCGATGGCCCGACCAAGCGGGGCCATTAGAGGCACCAGTGCAGGGTGTGGTGTCTGCGTTAGCACAAGGTACAAAGTGATGCAGCGGGGGGCTCCCTGGGGAAGGCGCAGTGCAGACTGTGTGTTCTAGGGGGATCCCAGAGGATTAGCCACAAGGACGGTGCCATTGCAGCCTGGCACTGGGTTCTGGAGCCAGCAGTGAGGTTCTGGGAGCCTGTGTCGATAACTGGGGGATCCTCTGAGAAACATCATCCTGGTGATTGAAGCAGCAGGGGGGCTCTCTCTGCACCCACGGGAGGACATGGGGGGCGGAGCACTCAGGCCAGGGACAGGGCTGTTTTCCCTGCATTTCGTTGGGCATCCTCTCCTTGCTCCCCTCTCCTTCGACCCCTGCTCATCCTTGCCCCCAAGTTCTACCCCCTCCTGTGGGTTTTCC